TTGTTCCTAATTGAAATGTTTTCAGTTTTTTCATTTTTTTCCTTTTAGTTAAATTCACCATGACAAAGTAAAAGTATTTATTTACTGAAATAAAAATAAAATACCAATTTAGGAGGAAAACATTTATCCTAACTTCGGGATATTGTTTTCTGATTGGTAATCTTTTAAATACACAAATAATATTCAAAATATAACGGATTATGCTACACCTTTTAATATATTTTGTGAGGTGTTCTAGTTAAATAGGAAACTTTATACAACAGAGCAGCCTAGAGAGCTTGTGTAATTTACTCAAATAAAATGTTTTTTCATAGATAGGAAACATTTTATTTAGAGAAAATTACATAAGTGGGTCATCTTTAAATGGGTTAGATGCTTATACGGCCCACGGTCTACCATAGTCTACATCAGCCATTTAGCTTAAATTTCACAAGATAATAGTAGTTTGGCCTACTTTAATCGGGCCTAGTAGTGGTGGCCCAAGTGCTAAGCAGCAGAATATGGATCTTTTTATGTGGAAATTACAAAAATCCAGGTATTTAAAAATGACAATGCAAAAATCAAGTTGAAAGTTTTTTTAATTAGAAATCAGGTATTATATATTTATACCCACCCCACCCAAAGAAACCCTAAACAAATTCATATCCTCGTCTCTCTCTCTCTCTCTCTCGCAGCCCTCTTTCCCTATACCCATTTATTTTCTCTCCACCCATTTCAATTCATCTTCATCCCCGTTGTGTATCATTCATCGTCGGTTCCATCAATCTCCAATCAGTCTACCATATTTACCTGACGATATGTTGTGGCGATGCTTGGATATGAGCGCTGTTGCAACAAACTGTGCTCGAGCTCAGATCTTAGTCGTTGCAGTGACATTCAGTCTCAAATCGATGCTGTGAGATAGTGGTGTAGCTGGTTGCGATGATGGTGGATGATGATGCGGTGGTGGTGGCATGCTAGTGTGTAGTGGTGTGTTGATCAATTTGCAGTGGTTCAAATGTGGTGTAGTGGGTTGGTGGCTTCGAATCTGGTTTGTAGGGCACCGTGAGTACAGTGGTGTTGGCGGTGTCATGATTTAGGTGGTGATGTTGAGGTTGGGAGGTACCGATGGTGTATTGTTTGAAGTTTCTAACAGTGGTTGTGTTAGGAGACGTGGTTATGTTGGTGAGGTTGTGGGTTGGGGGTGTTGTGTGATTGGTGGTGACTGTCTTGGTGGTTTCTGGCGACGATCGAGGTGGTGGTTGGTGGTTGGAGATTTGATAGAGGTAGTGGTGGATCGGGATCAAGGTGGGGTGGTTGGGGTTGATTGTTAGTGTTTTTTTTTTTTTTGTTGGCGATGGTCCATGACCTTAAAATTTGGTCCGTAACCTTAAAATTTGATAATCTGTGACTAAAAAATAATCTGTGACCTTAAATTTTGATGATGTGACTAGAAAATAATCTGTGACCTGAAAAATTTTTGATCTGTGACCTCGAAATTTTTTTTGACCAATTAATTTGATGATATGTGGCCAATAAATAAATTTGTGACCAATAATTGTTAAACTGTGACTTTATTATATTTATTTAATAAATATTATAATTAATTAAATTCATACCTGAATTTTGAATTTTCAACCTAGGTTTTGAAATGGTGTAAATAATACACTTGACATATGAATTTTTCCCTCTTTTTATAGGGGGATAGTTGGCCCAATGAGTCTAATTGAAGGTTAAAATTTCACACGATCTTGACAAGTTAAAATTTGGGTTTGGCCAACTCCTAAAATGAATTTTGTTATGAATATAACTTGGTTATCAAGTTTCCATTATAATTTGAATAAAATACAATTTCCATTACCTAAGTGGGTATGAAGCTTGTAGATCAAGGAAAGAACAATTATTGGATGGGATCTAGTTTGGAAGTTTGCGAATCAATCAACATCAAGCAAGAAGATAAACAAATTAATTGCTTGAAATAGTCGTAACTTCTAGACACTTATGTGGTGATTAGTTAGAAATGCAATAAATAGGTGTTTTTTTTTTTTTTTGGGTGTTCCCTAACCCCAAAAAGAGATATCAGAGTATAGGTCTAGAATTGTTTATTTTCTGAAATTCTAATTCTTGATTTATTGCATGATTTTATAGTTGAGTGTATCCGAGGGTTGTTCTATGCATTTATTTGAATAGTTGGATTTATTTGTGGATGAATAAATGTCTATATGGTTGATGAATGAAATAATTATCAAATTTTTTCCATTAAAATGAGGCATAGGGGAAACCAGATTATTGGACACGTTATGGTTGGTGTACATAATTTTTTTTCCATTAAATGTCTATAAGTTTTTTTCTTTTTTCAAAGCTCTAATGTCAGTTTGAATGCAAGATAACACAGAGATATATAAACTGAAATTCACTACTTATTTTGCGTTAAAAAATATTACATCATGTGGTTCTATTTATACATGCTAAAAATTCAAGATTATTCCTCAAATAATGGAATTATTCTAGAAAATGTGAGGGTCAAATTTGATTTATTCCAGCAGAACAGGCACATATGGTCTAATACAATACTGGAGAAATAGAATTCATCAATGACATGCGGCTAAAAGGAAAACATTTCACCCAGTTGAATTTATATGGAAAAAAACACCATGGACACACTAACATTTAAATGACAGAAACAAAACTGAACTGAGAGCACATTTGGGACACCATATTCAATATTACTGCTAAGAATGACTGATAAGATTTTTTTTCTTCCTCAATAGTGTTAAATGCTATTTATTCCACCATATTAAACGTCTCTGACCTTATCAAAACAGAAATTATATATAATTAAAATGCGTAGTGGGAAATTATATATGTAGGAAGATTATACATAACAAGGAATTGCAATATCTCCCAACCGAATTTGTGCACCAACTCTAGAGCTGCCCGACATGAATTTACTTAGAGGTGTTAAACTGGGTTATCAAAGCTTAGAGCCAGCTAACGCATGAAAGCACAGCCAGTCCCATCACAGGCCATGGCATGATCAGCCCACCTCTACAGTTGGCTGGGCCCAACTTTGAAGGCCCATGGGTCCACATGTCTTTAAAAAGAGACTTAGGTCCAGGATGGACTGGCTGAGCTGATAGAGGGATGGTCCAGGAGTCGTCATGGCCTAATTTATACCAAATCCATGTTCCATCGTTTCCATTATACCTTCATCGCTTGATTCACAAACAATAATACTAGAGATTTGCATTTCTACATGCTCTATGTCATGACTGTCCCAAGGTAAATGTACTCTTACACCTTGTGTAAAAAGTACAGACAGGGATTACTTTTCAAAACGATCATGTTCAACATGTACATTTATAGCAAGTTGGTAATGTTGTACGAGACAGCATGAAAAAGAAACTAAAATTTATATAGATGTGTTCTCATGGTACATTGTTTGTGAATGAAATGACTAGGAGAGCATTTTTGTACTTACTATAATAGATCCGTCTTTCCCAAAATGCCAGTTTAGTCCCACTGGGAAATGCAGAAGGTTTCTGAGCCAATATTCAGAGAGGGAAACTGTCAACATGATCTGGGGTAACACACGACTTTGGATACTTTTCAATAGCATAGAAGCAATATCTACAGTAAGCAAACAACCAGAATTAGGTATCATGTCATGGGGATTGAGCCATAATCTCAATTGCGACTGCAACTTTACTAAAATAAAATCAGAAAATATATAGCCTCCGTTTGACAAATTTATAAATCAATTTGCAAAGTGGAATACTAGCGGGATCTACTAAATTTTTTGATTATAATAAATAGTAATTATAAATGTTTGTTCGAAAATAATATTTGACTTTAACAAATTTATTAACCATATTATAAATTGTATCCAAATAGAGATTTTCACGCTCAGTGTGAGAACTGAGTCTTCACTAACGTGAAACAAAATGATTGCCTACAAATTATTCTACATGTGTGTGAACATTATATTTATCTGTAATTGATAGATTTTACACAATATGATTAGACTCCACAAATTATACATCCACATACCATAAATTTCAGCATTAATAAGGCAGTGTGACTCCATTTTCACTCTTTTCAGGACTCAGCTCATCTTTCGGCGTCACTCTGTATAAATAACGAACCATGTCCTTTTTTCCATGCAATGCAGCCATAATCATATGAAGTTGCCCATTTTCATAATCTACTTTGCTATTTTAACTAAATTTTTGTTCTTATATATCATTTTCTTGGCTAGTTTCGTCGCACCACACATCTCAGCACGGGACAAGGCTTTCAAGATTTTCTGTAACTTCAGTCTATCCAAAACAAAGTTGCAATGTATCGAGTTGTGTGTTTGTGTCCAAAACAAACTCTTACCCTAACGGCCTCTGGATTTCATCGAATGAAATCTACTATAGAATGCCACTTCCCTTCTTCAATTGCCTTGTACAAGGGCTCATAATCAATGTACTTTACCGAACCTGCAAGCAATGACACCGACCTGTATGTGAGGAGATTGTGTCGAATACAAAGTTCATTAAATAAAAGGAAAGTTTGGCGCACCACATTGTTCTTGTGTGTTTGATTACATTTATTTTCCATCGAAAATTTCAGTTTTTCATCCAAATTTCTACTTGGGGTGTTTGATTCCTATTTTTCTCCATGGAAAATATTTTCCTTGGGTGGAGGTGGTTTTCATTTTCTTCAAAACAAGGAAAATATTTTCTTTTCTAGGTGATATTTTCCATGTCAATCAAATACACTCTAAGTGTTAAATTTTATGGATAGCTACCCAAGATTGCATGATAATTTAAAGGAGATTTGAACGATTTTCATGTTTGAAAACTTTTTGTGCAAATGTTATAAAGAGGTTGATAACTAACATGCTCATTTTTTACTAATTGAGAACCATTAGTGCAATTTCATGTTTCTTATAGCATGATAAGATTTCAGATGGGCTAGTTCCTCATAAGGTTGATAAGTGCTTTTCATGCACTTATTCGGACCAGAATACTAAGTTTTTATGTCATGAAACTATTGAATTTTACTTAACTTGGATTAATTTACTTCTATGTTTAGTTACAGGCTCATTTTGAAGCAATTGGAAAGAGAAAAAGGATAAATTGGCCATTGAATGGAAGTTTGGATACTAATTCTATGCCCCCATTTGGTCCCACTCTTTAGCCACAAAAATGAAAAATATGACCATTATCCATCACATCAAGCTACTATATTTGACTATTTATCTCTTGTGTGAGTTCCGTAACTGCTATATTTTTCATTCTCATTCTTAGAAAAATGGGAATTAAACGGGCCCTACATGTTAGAAATTGAAAGGCTTGAATTGAACTAAAAAATGAATTGATTGTGCAATTAATTGGACTAGAGGTCAGAATGCACATTCTAAAATAATGTTGGACAATGGTGCAAATTACAATTTAATATAGCAAGAACCAATTGAAAATTGTTATCAAAATGAATTTTGACATACACTTTGATTGGAACTCAAATTTAATTGGGTTTGGACTTTGTTGACGTCAAAAATTTTATGGACTATTCTTGAGCCAACTTTAAGAAAAATGACACTTTGTAGTGATAATGAAAGGTAAAATTGTACAATGTGTAGGTGTGGAAGGCTTAGCTTGCCCTAAAAGGGAACCATTTCCCACTATTTATAGGGGCCCTTAGCCGAAATTATGTCATGTCCATCAA